CAATCCTCCTGCCTCTGAAAGCTTGCCTGGGATTATGGGCATGAGCCACCATGCCAGGCTCATCTTTTTGTTCATAAAGTTTAAGTGACTTGCTTACAAATCTTATGCAAAATTTCATGTAACTTAGGTAATACTATATAACATAATGCTACATATGGTACATATATAGACACACAAAGATCTGTCCTGGGTATTGTTTTTAAGTATCTCATCTCTGGACTTTATGACTCTGAAATGGTGGGAACTGGGACATACATGTTTGAGGAATAAAGTGAAACGTTTTGTGTTATTGTTGTTGTTGCTTTTTTTTTTTTTTTTTTTTTTTGAGATAGAGTTCCATTCTTGTTGCCCAGGCTGGAGTGCAATGGTGCAGTCTCAGCTCACTGCAGCCTCCATCTCCTGGGTTCAAGCAATTCTCCTGCGTCAGCCTCCCAAGTAGCTGGGATTACAGGCATGCACCACCACGCTCAGCTAATTTTGTATTTTTAGTAGACACGGGGTTTCATCTTGTTGGTCAAGCTGGTCTTGAACTCCTGACCTCAGGTGATCCACCTGCCTTGGGCTCCCAAAGTGCTGAGACTACTGCTGTGAGCCACCAAGGCTGGCCTAAAGCGAAGGTTTTGGGTGAAGTTTACATAAGGATTTGATTTTTTTAAAACATCATTAAAGTTTCTATCAGGTAGAACAATAATGAGATGGTGTAAGGTGAGGCAGGTATAGGGGACCACCGTGTTCCAGCATACAGGGAAAGCCCTCCAGAAGAAAAGGTTATCAAGGCGATATAAATGCAGGGTGGAGTTTAAGCAGGACGCAGGTGTCCAGATTCTGGACTCTCCTAGGAGCAATGGGAGCCATGGATGGTTTTAGGGAGAAGAATGATGAAGCCTGAGATGCATTCAGAATTTTATTGGCTGTAACATGGTGAAAGTCAGGGAAGATGGCCAAATGAGAAACAAAAAGAACAGTGACAGGGCTGCTACAAGCATGCAGGCCAGAGACAGTGGGAGCAATGAGAAAACGTGTGCATTGGAAAGACAACAGAAGTAGACTTGGCAGGTGTTAGTGATTGAGTGCGGAGGGAAAGAAAAAGGGAATTAGGGATGCCTTCTGGGGTTCTAGCTTAAGCAACTGAGAAACTGGTGATTCCACTTATGTGCTGGGGGAAACAGCAATGGAGGAGGGGCTTACAGAGTGCCACATAAAGTGGCTTCAAGATTTCAACAGTAAATCTTGGCAAACTGCGTCAGGCCTCTGGGGAGGCAAATTAAGCCTTCAAGTTCCAGCTGCAGAGTGACCTTGACTCTGTTACAGTGCATAAGATGCTCAAGGACTTAAAACCCCTTTTGTAGCATCACAAAGTAACCAGACTTGTAGGCTCCTTGTGAGACTCACTTCCTCCAGATTGCCTTAAATGCAATCTGTAGATAATAACCGCATGCTTCTGCTTTTCAAAGAAACTCACAAAGCCACTAGCAATCTTCAGAATGACCCGCCAGTTCCAGTTCACCGAAGAATGCTCCACCATCGCACCACTCCCTCCCACCATCACCTCACCTTCACCCCCGCATCTGCTGACTGCTCAAAGTGGTTGTAAACAATAAATACTCTGGGGAACCTAAGCTCAGGGCCTTCACTACCTCCATTACAAGTGATGGTCCCCTGGTCCCACTTTCATTCTTAATCTTTTTCTCATTCCTTTGTTGCCACTGAATTCGGGGTACCCATGGGTGGGGTGTGGGAGCTTATTCCTTACATTATGGAGGCAGGGAACAGTGGGGAGATGCTGGAATGGAAATGAAAGGTGATAAATTCAGTTGTGGAAATGTACAGTGTGAGGAGGTGATGTCAAATGATGTTCAGGTTTGTGGCTGTTTGGGGCTGAAACTCAGGGACAAGAGCTAGGCAGGAGATACAGCTTTGAGAAAACACTTGTAGAAACTGACTGGAACTATGTAGTGGATAAGACTGCCTAAGGAGAATGTGATAGTTTCTCTTACGGCAGAGAAAAAGAAGCTGCAATGGAGACTGAGGAGAGAAAGAGACTAGAGATACAGGAAGAAGAAAACCAGGAGGTGGCGGTTATGCCAATTTTTTTTTTTTTTTTTTTTTTTTTAATAGCGACTGAAAAGGACAGACGGGACAGCAATGACAAATGCTGTTGAAAGGTCAAGGAAGGGCCGGGCACAGTGGCTCATGCCTGTAATCCCAGCACTTTGGGAGGCTGAGGCAGATCACTTGAGGTCAGGAGTTCGAGACCAGCCTGGCTAACATGATGAAACCCCGTCTCTACTAAAAATACGAAAATTAGCTAGGCGTGGTGGCATAGGAGGCTGAAGCTGGAGAATCACTTGAACCCAAGAGGTGAAGGTTGCAGTCAGCCTCGGCGCCATCGCCAGCCTGGGTAACAGAGCAAGACTGTCTCAAAAAACAAAAAACAAAAAACAAACAAACAAACAAAAAAACCCAGGAAGATAAAGACTAGGTCTTTGATGCCTTTGATGAGGGCATGTTCAGTGATGTGGTGAAGCAGATATCAGAACTGCTGGGGACTGAGAAATGACGAAAGGTGAAGGTAAAGCAATGGAGTGTTGAAATATGGACCACTTTTTCCATAAGGTTTGGTTGTAAAGGGGAGAAGGGAAAGAAGGTGGTGGCTGGAAGGAGAGAAGTTGTCAGGAGCTGAGGGATATCACTTAGATGGTTGCTCTTTCTTCAGTAAAGGAGGTTCCAGAGAAAGCAGGGTGCAGGCCAGGGAGGGGGCTGAAGAATCGGAGATCTGGGGAGCATGCCGGATATTTGGAAGCTGATTTTGGGGGAGAGCTGGAGAGAGAGCTGCCTTGGCAAATAGGACTGCTGAAGGGTATTGAGGTCCTAGTTGAGGTTGACAATGTGTGCAACACTGATCTGTGTGGTTGTGAGATTTTGTCCAGTGGCACTTGGAGCCAAGAAGCAGATTCTGAGAAGACAGAAGCCACTGAGAAGACCTGGGAGCCACTGGTACAAGTCTTGGAGTCCAAAGGCTCAATATTTGCTAAATGAATAAATGGACGAATTCCACTACCTAATCTCCTGGAGTTCAGAGATTTGGGTGTCCCAGCTCCAGAAGACAGAATTTGCCTTTCCTCTGCCTTTTTGTTCTATCTGCCCATATGGGATAAGGACAGATCTTCCTTACTCAGTTTATTGATTCAAATGCCAATATCTTCTGGGAACACACTCATAGACTTACCCAGAAATAATGTTCCCCCAGCCATCTGAGTATTCCTTAATCTAGTCATGTTGACACCTAAAACTAATCATTGCAACATCCTAACCAAAAGTCTCAAAGATGCCTCAGATTCAACTTGGCAAAGCTGGAGCTCACGATCAATCTTCTCTCCTCTTCCAGTGTTCTCCGTATCTGTGCATTCCTCCACCAGCCACCCATTCATTCGGCTGAACAGGGGCATCATGCTGGAAGGTACTTCACTGCCCCTTCACATCCAGCTCGTCACCAAGTCCTGTGGATGTTGCTCCTGCATTTCTCTGCAGCCTGCTTAGATCTCTTTCTCTTTACTCTCACCCCAGTCCACACTCCAGTTCCATTCTCCCTTGCCCAGATGACCGCACCAGATCCCAGGCCAGTCCCACCATAGCTTTGAGACTTCTCCATTTTGATATGTACTCTGACGGTTAAAGTGGGTTTATAAAATGCAACTGTGATCAGTGTTGCGTGGTCCTCAACTTGCCACTATGGCCATAAGACCACACGGTCCGGCGCCTTCTCTTCGCTCTAGCGGATCTCACTCCACTCCTTTACTCTCTAAGCTCTGAGTGTCTTTTCTTTTTGCGGTAGAATGTACACAACCATTTTTTAAGTGTGCAGATCTGTGGCACACAACGTGGTACACTCGCGTTGTGTGATCATCACTACTCTCCATTTTCAGAACGGTTTCATCTTTTCCAGCCGAAATCCGTAGCTATTCAGCACTGAGTCTGAGCTCCCCCACCTCGGGGCTCCCTCCAGGAAGCGCTGCTGCCTTCCACAGGGTTCCCAGATGCATGCTGGTGTCTCCCCTTTGCCCGTCGGCCTCCTGCGAGTCCCACAGCAGCCCCGCAGCGCCTGTGAATTCCCCCAAAGCCCTGTGCCTCCTCCTTGGAGGGCAGCTTGTGTGCACACGGGGGTCCGGTTGTTGGCAGGGTGCCCCCTCCCCTCGTCTCCCGACGCCGTGTTCCCACAGCCCTCGGCGCACAGCAGGCGCCCAGTCCTCGCCGGAGGAAGAGGCGCACGGACTCTGCCGCCTCCTGTCCTTGCGGCCGGCCCTCCGTCTCCGGCTGCCTCCGCCCCGGCCTGGGGCGTGTCCCGACTCGGACTTTGTCGCCCGGTCCAGGCTGGCAGCGGGTCGTGCTCCGCAGCTCTCCCGTCTCGGGCCTCCCGCCCCGGGCGCGTCGCTCTGTCGCGCGGAGCCTCCCCGCCTCCCGCCGTCAGTCCGGTCACCACCCCGGCAGGAGTCGGGCTCAGACCGCGAAGCGTCCTCTCGCCGCCGGACGCGAGACCTCAGACCGCCGCGGTGAGAGCGGGAGGCGGGAGGACCGCGGGGAGGCGCGCGCCGCGGCCACGCCCAGGATCCGTCGGGGTCGCAGCCCACGTCGGGGTCGCAGCCCCCTAAGTACCCACACTTTCGCGCCTCCGCCGGGCCCGGGCCGTGCAGGCGCGCCGGGATTGGCCGGTTTGGGTACGGGCGTCGCCTAGCAGCAGCCAATGGGGACTCACGGCTCGCGCACGCGCACCGCCGCCTACCTGCGCCGGGGCTGCCGGTGACCTGGGCCGGGGCCGCCCGGTCGGCTGAGGTTGCCGAGGAGACGGCGGGTAGCGGGCGGGCGCCGACTTTCCGAAGGCCGCCGTCGGGGCGAGGTGAGGGCGGGCGGGCGGAGGCGGGGCCGCCGCCCGGGAGCCGAGAGCAGGCGGGGTCGGGTGTGGCACGGGGCGGTCCCAGAGGTGGAGGCGGCGCAGGGCCCGCCCCGCCTTCAGGCCCGGCCTCGTCGCGGGGCTTCCCTCGGGGCTCCCCGGAGGCCTCCGTCCTCCTCCTCCCGCCGGCCTCTCCCCGGGCCCTGGGGCCACCAAGGCGCGCGCCGGCAGGAGCCCTGGGCCGGCAGACGGGGAGCGAGGAAGGGGGCGGCTGTGTGCGACCGTCGGGGCGTTCCGGGACGGCCGGGGCTCCCCGCAGGTTCGCACGCAGACCCCAGAGTCGGGAGGAGAACGCCCTCGGGGGGAAGGCTGGGTTCGCGGCCGTCGGAGCCACGGGAGACTCTTGCCACGGGTGGAAAGTAATTGGTGAAATCTGTGACATGGTCAGAAGAAAACCGACAGATGGGGTAATAGTTAACTACAATTTGCAGAAAAGAGTTGATCCTGCTAAAGATAATTTTAGTAAAATGAGAAATGGAAGCAATTGGAAATGGTTTAACGTTGCTAGATAGAACTAAATAAACACAGTTTCCCCTGGAAAGTACATTTAGGACAATGTGTTTAATAGTTCTGATTGAAGTGTTTGTATTTGCAACAGAAGCCCTCTTGGAGTCTCAGTGTTTTTTGTTGTTAGAATAGCTTAGAAGTCAACTACATTCAAAAAGTAACATGGTCAGAGAGAGGACAACCTGACTTCAAGGCAATACAGTGGGTAAAGGGCAGTTGTATCAACTGTGACCTCAGGCTCCTTCCTCTACCAACAGGTCTCTGATTACCTTATTAGTGTTCTAAGAAGAAATTAATTTTACAAAAAATATTATTTTAGAGAAAAGGAGTAGCTGTAATCCCATAGGTTGGACTTATAGAAGCAGGATGTGATAGAAAGATTGTAGGCTTTAGAATATTTGAAGTAAGGAAGTCTGGGTTTGAATCTGGCTCTACGTCTTGAGCGTTACAGCTGCAGTTTTCCTACTTATCCAGTGTAGATTATGTCTACCTTATAGTTACAAGCATTTAATAACATTATCAGTGTAAAAGTCACTATCAAGTTCAGTTTCTTCCCCCTCTCAGTTCCTAACAAATGACAAAACTGATCTCTACCCTCCTTTTCACTCCATCCCCAAGCAACTTGGAGCCTTAATAGAACCTACAAATTTGGTAAACGGCTCTCAAGTCCTGAGGCTGAAGGTGAATTCAGTAAGGGTGACAACTCAGTTTTGTCTTCTGTATTGTGTATTTGAGTATTCTGTATTCTGTATATACTTTATGGTAAATGCTTGTGTTTGAATATTTGTGTGCCAAGTGAAAGCCTTTGTCCAAATTCCTATTTTACAAGGTGCAGTCATCTCTCTATTTTTTTTTCTCTCTTTCACAATCTCTCTCTCTCAGTGCATGTTGTAGGGATTTGAAGAGGGGTTAAGGGTAAAAGGTGGAAGGAAAAACAGGAAGAGTAGCCTCCAGCATAGGCACAGAGTCTTGGTTGATAGAACAGGGATAATCTATGACATGAGCAGTTTATAAACAGATGCTGGGAAGAGGATTTAGGAAATAACGGAGGCAGATTAAAATATGTTGTTATAAAACCTAGTAACACAGATGCTGTATATTTGATTACTACTTCACTCTCTACTTTTAGACAAATATCATCTATATAATTTTCTTTTTTTCTTTCCAAGTACAGATTTATTGCAGAAAAGTGTTTAAAATATAGATCAGAATTATGGCAAGGGATCTGTAAACCTGCATTTCTTGTTTCAGTGAGCAGCAATAAAGCATCCCTCAGGTCATTAACTCATTTGCTTTGCAGTGTTTACTGAGTGTTTCCTAATACGGGCCAGGCAAGGTGGTAGGTTATGACATCCACTTCCTTGCGGATGGATCTCGTGTGGTCTGAAAGGCATTCTAGTGTCTCTCTATACGAACATTCTGAAGCTGCCTTTGTCCTTGTGGAATTGATTTTTTGTTGTTTTTTGAGACAGGGTCTCACTTTGTTACCCAGGCCAGAGTGCAGTGATTCAGTCACAGCTCACACAGCCCTTCTGAGCTCAAGCGATCCTCCCACCTCAGAGTCCCGAGTAGCTGGGACCACAGGTGTGCACTACCATGCCTGGCATCTTTAGAGATGAGTATTATTGTCTTGCCCAGGCTGGTCTTAAATTCTTGAACTCAAGCAGTGTTCCTACCTCAGCCTGCCAGAGTGCTGGGATGGCAGTTGTGAGCCACCGTGCTCAGCCTGCTCTCCTGTTTACAGTTGAATACTAGTTATCTTTGAGAAGCTTTATTTTAGAGTCCTGAGATTATAGTACCTTCCAGTTTGGAAATGTCATGTAGTTGAGGAGCTGTTCACTATGAAGTATGCCCTTCAATGTTCATGGATAAAACATCAGAGTTACAGTTAATTAGCAGATAAGATTATTGTTCTATTGGTGGAGATATATAAAAATGATATTTAAACAAAAAATATGAGCGTAATTTAAAAAAGCAATACATGAGAATCTTAAGTTAATACTTTTTTCTAGCTTTTAAGATAATTATGGTGGCAGGAAGTTGCAAAAATAGTACAGAGAAGCTTTATGTACCCTTCACCCAGTTTTCCCCATTGATTACATATTATATAACTCTAGTACAATAGCAACTCCAGGAAACTGACATTGGTATAAAGTGTGTGTGTATGTTTGTGTGTGTGTCATACTGTCACTTTATCACGTGTAGACTGCAACCAAGGATACAGAATTATTCCGTCACCACAAAGATCTCCCTTTTGCTGTTCCTTCGTAGTCACACCCATTCCCTCCCCTTGCCATCCGTAAACTCTGACAACTGTGTATCAGCTCTTCATTTCTATAATTTTGTCATTTCAAGAATCTTACATAATTTTTTGTATTTTTAGTAGAGACGGGGTTTCACCATGTTGACCAGGATGGTCTTGATCTCTTGACCTCGTGATCCACCCGCCTTGGCCTCCCAAAGTGCTAAAAATACAAAAAATTAGCTGGGCATGGTGGCGCGTGCCTGTAATTCCAGCTGCTCAGGAGGCTGAGGCAGAATTGCCTGAACCCAGGAGGCGGAGGTTGCAGTGAGCCGAGATTGTGCCATTGCACTCCAGCCTGGGTAACAAGAGCGAAACTCCGTCTCAAAAAAAAAAAAAAAAAAAAAAAAGAATCTTACATAAAAAGGATGCATACAATATATAACCTTTTGATACTGGCTTTTTGCAGTCAGCATAATGCACTAGAGATCCATCCACTTTGTTCTGTGTATCAGTACCATAGATTATTCCTCTTCTTTGCTGAGTAGTATTCCATTGAATGAAAATGCTGTGGTTTGTTTAACCATTCACCATTTGTAGGACATTTTGATTGTTTCTAGGTTTGGTTGTTATTAATAAAGCTTCAGTCAGCAATTGTACACAGGTACTTGTGTGGACGTAAGTTTCTGTTTCTTTGGGATAAATGCCAGGAATATGATTGGTAGATTGTACAGTAATTGCATGTTTAGTTTTAAAAGAAACTGCAAAACTCTTTCCTTTTTTTTTTTTTTTTTTTTGAGATGCAATCTTGTTCTGTTGTCCAGGCTGGAGTGCAATGGTGCAGTCTTGGCTCACTGCATCCTCCGTCTCCCAGGTGCAAGTGATTCTCCTGTCTCACCCTCCCAAGTAGCTGGGATTACAGGTGCTTGCCACCAAGCCCAGCTAATTTTTGTATATTTAGTAGAAATGGGGTTTCACTTTGTTGGCGAGGCTGGTCTTGGACTCCTGGCCTCAGGTGATCAACCCACCTCAGCCTCCCGAAGTGCTGGGATTGTAGACATGAGCCACCATGCCCAGCCCAAACTGTTTTCTAGAGTATACCATTTTACAGTCCAGTAATGCATGAGAGTTTCTTTCCATGCTTGCCAGCATTTGATATTGTCACTGTTTATCATTTTAGCTATTCTGATGGGTATGCAGTATTATCTCATTGGGGTCTCAAGTTGCATTTTCCTGATAGCTCAATATCTTTTCATGCTCTAATTTGCCATCAATATATCCTCTTTGGTAAAATGTCTGTTTGTGTATTTTTCCCATTTTAAAATTGGATTGTGTTGTTTTTTTTTTCACTCTTGAATTTCAAGAGTTCTTTATAAATTCTAGGTTGTTTTTTTTTTTTTTTTCGAGACAGAGTTTCGCTCTTGTTACCCAGGCTGGAGTGCAATGGCGCGATCTCAGCTCACCGCAACCTCCGCCTCCTGGATTCAGGCAATTCTCCTGCCTTAGCCTCCTGAGTAGCTGGGATTACAGGCACGCGCCACCATGCCCAGCTAATTTTTTGTATTTTTAGTAGAGACGGGGTTTCACCATGTTGACCAGGATGGTCTCCATGTCTTGACCTCGTGATCCACCCGCCTCGGCCTCCCAAAGTGCTGGGATTACAGGCTTGAGCCACCGCCCCTGGCCTAAATTCTAGGTTTTAGTTGCTTATCAGACATGTGGTTTATAAATATTTTCTCCTGATTTCTAGCTTGTCTTTTCAACCTCTTCACAGGGGCTTTCGTAGAGAAACAGTGTTCAATTTTGTTGAAGTCCAGTTGACTGAGTTATCTTTATGGATATGCTTTTGGTGTCATATCTATGAGCTCCTCACCAAACCATAGGTCCTGAAGATTTTCTCCTATGTTTTCTTCCAGTTTTATATTTCATATTTAAATCTACGATAAATCTTGAGTTAAGTTTTATGTAAGATGTGAGGTTTAGGTCACCGCAGCACTATTTGTAGAAAAGACTATCTTTTCTCTCTTCAGTTACTTTTGCTCATTGTAAAAAGTCAGCTAGATGTACTTTTATAAGTATATTTTTGTTTCTGTATTCTGTTTTTATTGATCTGTGTCTATTCCTCTGACAATACTATATAATCTTGATTATTATAACTGTATAATAAGACTTGAAATAGGATAGCATGGTTTTCCCTATTTTATTGTTTTTCAGAATTGCTTTAGATATTTTAGTTTCTTTGCCTTTCCATATGTATTTTAGAATAGTCTTACCTATATCCACAAACTCTTGCTTATATATTTTTAGTAGTTGCATTAAACATGTACATCAATTTGGGAGAGAAGTGACATCTTTGCTATATTGACTCTTTGAATCCATAAAACATGATATATCTCCCCATTTATTTAGACTTCAATTTCAGGAATGTTTTGTAGTTTTCAGCATACAAGTTATGTATATGTTTTGTTAGATTTACATCTAAGTATTTTATTTTAAAAATTATAGCTTAATTGAGATCATTTTTGAAGTGATTATAAATGGAATTTTTAGTTTTGGTTTCCGTATGTTCATTGTTGGCATATAGAAATATAATTTTTTTTGTGGCAGAGTATCACTCTTTGCAAAGGACCAGCTTTTTGTTTCATTGATTTTTCTCTATTTTAAAAATGTTCAATTTCATTTATTTCTTCTCTATTATTTTCTTCCTTCTTTGTGCTTTGAGTTTATTTTGCTCTTCTTTTAGTTTCTTGACTTGTGAGCTTAAATTATTGTTTTGAGACTTTTCTTCTTTTTGAATGTAAGCATTTAATGCTATGGATTTTCCTCTCAGTACTGCTTTAGCTGTGTGCCTCAAATTTTGATATATTTTCATTTTCATCCAATTCAGTGTATTTTTTATAATTTCCTTGATATTTCCTTTTTAATTTATGGATTACTTAAAAGTGTGTGTTTAATTTTCCAGTGTTTGGAGGTTTTCATTACCTTTCTGTTACTATAATTTGATTACATTGTGGTCACACACTCTGTATGAATTTTTTTTTTTTTTTTTGTAAAGATCCAATTGGCTTTTATTAGTGATTCATGAACTGGGCAGCATCCAGCCTACAAAATAAACAGGAGCCCTACCAGGTATGACAGAACAGTCTGCATTTGTAAGGCAGCACTGGCAGGAGCAAGGAAACAGCATGGTAGAAATAGCAGATTGGTTAACATCAGGTTACTTTCCTTGTGTGGATTAAAGCAGAGGGGGCTTCCTAATCCTAATCACGCTGACTCAGGTTGACTGGACTCCCTTTGATCAGTTGCTGTGAATCTCCTGACTTTTTGAAACTGTCCTATTTTTAATTCACTTTGATTATACAGACTCCATTCATGGATGGAGAGGTGAGATCTTGAAGTATCATTCAACATAAATGTATTGGAAAGTTTTTGTTAGATAGGGCTTGTTAATTTTGGCCTTGGGCTAGTCCTTTCCCATCTCTGATCCTCTGCTTCCTAACTTATAAAATACAGCTCAAATGCTCCTAACATTATGATTCTAAGAAATGTCAGGATTTGATAAATTGCTTAATAGCACAATAATATTAGAGAGTGGAAGATGAGAAGCAAAATAATTACACTGAGCAAGTATTTTTAACCGATCGAAATTAAACATAAAAGCTCTTTTAAAGTTTAGCTTCCCCTCAACCCTCCTACCCTCAAACCACTGTTTGCTAGGGCTGCCATAACAAAATGCCACAGATTGGGTGGCTTTTTAATTTACTTTGTGAGGGTACATACAGGGTCTTACTATGTTGTCCAGGCTGGCCTTGAACTCCTGGCCTCAAGCAATCCTCCTGCCTCGGCCTCTTACCATGGATGGCTTAACAAAAGACATTTATTTCTCACTATTCTGGAGATTACAAGTCAAAGATCAAGGTGCTGGTGATTTTGTTTCTTCTGAGGCCTCTCTCTTTGCTTGCAGATAGCTGCCTTCTCACCATGTCCTCTTCTGGTCTTTGTTCTGTGCACGCATCACCGGTATCTCTCATGTCCAAGGACACCATGTTGGGTTAGACTAACAGCCTCCTTGAACTTAGTCACCTCTGTAAAGGCCTCATCTCCAAACAGTCACATTAGAAAGAAATGGCAGTGAGGACTTCAACAAATGAATTGGGAGTTGCGCAATCCAGCCCACACCAATGATCTAGTCTAAGGTTCCTGTTTCAAAACACTGCATACTTCTGAGGAGAAAATTATTTTGTTTTAGGACAATTTAAACATATTTTTAAATGGAACACATACTGCAATTTGTTAAATTACATTAGTAATATTTTCCTATGGCTAAGTCCACTTGGAAAGCTAGTTATCAAAATGAAAAATGATTGTTTTGTTTAATGCTCACCAGTATTAGTTTTTTGTGATAGTTGTAAAATGTACTATATAAGAATTTTATTTAAAATAAGTATATAAAAATCAAAAACACCATTAAGATTTTCATTAGTATATAATCCAAAACTAAAAATTTTACAACAGACTAGCTTCATTTTACATGACAAAAAGCTTTGAAAGAGCTACTTTTACTGCTTGATCTGACTGGCTTCCCAAAATACTTTTCTTGGTGGAAAACAGTGAATGAAATGTAAGGCTCAGAGCATAAAACCCTTGAAATATAAAAACACATACTATCATAGAATCCCACTTAATGAAGCTTCTGTTTGATTAACTTGCCATTTTAATTACAAGTCTTATAGAGACAGAAATTCTATTTTTTCCAGAACAAATGTGCATATCCTGATAATACAACAGGGAAGAAAACAAACATTAGATTTTAATTGTTGAGCTTTTTTTACTTTTTGAGCCTAGCAGTCGACATATTTTTTTTTCCTTTCCTTCACAGTCTGGCATTCATCTGACTCACTAGCTTCTCCAATTTGATTGCTAGGGCCATGTTACCTTTAATCTTCAGTCTTCCTGACATGAATGCCATTGTTGGTTTTAGTTTCCCTGAAAACATTTTTACGAAGTCATCAGTAGACATACTCATCACCACATCTGCCTGATCAGAAGGCTCTCCATATCCGACATTCCCACCCTTGCTTTTCAGATCAAGAAACCACGTGCCACCATCTTCACCGGAGAGTTCAAACAGATAGATTCCTTGAGTGGCTTTAACAACATCATCACTGAGAGAGTCCTTAACAATTCTAAATGTTTCTTCCACAGCTCCCAAACGTGGTTTTGGTTGCGGCTGTGGTTTCTTTTCTTTGAATTCTGGAACAGCACCAGTTGATTCCATTTTCTTGGTAATTGGTTCTGGGTATTCATCTAAGAAGAAATCTGGTAGCAAAGGATGACCTGGTTTAATTGCATAGGCATCAAAATTTTTTATTCCTTCTTCTTTTAAGATATTTTCATCAATGACAAAGTTGCCACTGATTTGCTGTTCATCTCTCACATCAACAATACATGGCAAGGCCTTTCCTCCAACTGCTTCAACCGGTGTTGGGTAACATGATTTTCGTAGATCAGAGGAGATAGCAGGGACAAGGGCGGCGGAGAGCGGCGAGTGCTGTATGAATTTTTTTAAATTTATTGAGGTTTTATAGCCCAGGATATGATCTATATTGGTATATATTCTGTGGTTTCTTAACTTAAACTCCTGTCCTCAGCAATCCTCCCACCTTGGCCTTCCAGAGGGCTGGGATTACAGTTGCCAGCCACTGTGCCCAGCCTATTCTGTGGGGTCTTGAAAGGAATTCTGTTGTTGGATGGAATATTATAAATGATGATTATATCCTTTAGTTGATAGTTTTTAGTTCTTTTAAAAATCTTTGCTGATTTCTGTTTACTTGTCCTATTAATTTTTGAGGTAGAGATGGTTGAAGTCTCCAACTATAACTGTGGATTTATCTATTCCTCCTTTCACTTTGTTAGTTTTTGTTTCACTTATTTGCATCTTTGAAGTTTGGTGCAAACACATTTAGGATCATTATGCCTTCTTGGTGGACTTATTCTTTTATCATTATGTAATATCCTTCTCTGTTCCTGGAAATTTTCTTTGCTCTGAAGTCTATCTGATGTTAATATAACACTTGCTTTGTTTTGATTCATGTTTACATGCCATATTTTTTTCATCCATTTACTTTCAACCTACCTATATTGTTATATTGGAAGTGAATTTCATGTAGATAGTATATAATTGGGTCATGTGTTTTATCTACTGCCAGTCTCTGTCTTATCATATTTAGACCATTTGCATTTAATGTAATCATTGATATATATTAGGGAGTAAGTCTGCCCTTTTTTGTTTTGTATTTGTTCTGTTTGTTGTTGCTGTTGTTATTTCTTTATTTTATTGTTCTTGACTTCTTGTGGGTAATTTGAACATTTTAAAATAATTCCATTTTAGGCCATGCACCAGTGTGGCTCATGCCTGTAATCCCAGTACTTTGGGAGGCTGAGATGGGATGATTGTTTGAGCCCAGGAATTCAAGACCAGCATGGCAACATAGCAAGACTCTGTCTCTATAAAATATATCTTTAAAAATTAGCTGAGTATAGTGGTTTATGTCTGTAGTCCTTGCTACTTGGGAGGCTGGGGCAGAAGGATCACTTGAGCCTTTAGGCTGAGGCAGAAGGATTACTTGAGGTTGAGGCTGCAGCAAGCCATGATTGTGCCACTGCATTCCAGACTGGGTGACAGACCCTGTCTCAAAAAAAAAAAAAAAATCATTTTATAATCTATAGTGTTTTTCAGTATATCTCTTTGTATAGCTTTCTCTCTCTCTCTCTCTCTCTCTCTCTCTCTCTCTCTGTGTGTGTGTGTGTGTGTGTGTGTGTGTGTGTATGTGTGCGTGTGTGTGTGTGTATGACTTATCATGGTCTCCTGATGTCAGTGTTTTGCTATTTCAAATGAAATACAGAAACTTTACCTCCTTTTATGTCTTTGAACCCTTCCATTTGTAATTGTCTTAAATATTTGCTTTACATATATTGAGAACCACGAGACATTATAATTATTGCTTCAATCACCAAACATAATCATAATTTAGAAAACTCATGAAAGAATAATGTCATATTTTTCAAAGTTTTTTTTTACCCTTTCTATTGTTCTTTCTTTCTTTCTGATGTTCCAGATTTCTTCTTTTTATCATTTCCTTTCTGTTTAGAGAGCTTCTTGACAAATTCCTTTAATGTTCCTTTATCTAAGTGTGCTTTTTCTTTTATTTCTTTTCTTTTTTTGAGACAAGGTTTTGCTATGTTGCCTAGGCTGGACTTGAACTCCTGGGGGCTCGAGCAGTGTAGCTGGGACTACAGGGACATGCCACTGCACCTGGCTGCTTGAAGGATATTTTTGCTGAATACAGGATTCTGGGTTGGCAGTGCTGTTCTTTTAGTACTTCAAAAATATGCTACTTCCTTTTGGCTTCTATGGTTTCTATGAGAAATGTGCTATCATTTGAATTGTATTCCCCCTGTAGGTAAGGTATTATTTTTCTCTTGCTGCTTTCTATATTTTTTCTTTGTCTTTAGTTTTCATAAGTTGGGCTGTTTAGTGTGCTGGCATGGGTTTCTTGGGTTTATCCTTTCTAAGATTTGTTCAGTTTCTTGAATCTTCGGGTGTATGTCTTTTGCACAGCTTGGGAAATATGCAGAAATTATTTCTCTGAATACTTTTTCAACCCTGTCTTCTTCCTGTGTCCTCCAGGACTCAAGTGACATGAATGTTCAGTCATTTTTTACAGTCTCACTGGTCCTCAAGGCTCTGTGAAATATTTTTCAATCTAGTTCCTGTCATATTGTTGAGATTGAGTAATGTCTGTGCTCCGTCTTCATGTTTACTCATTCTTCTCCCCCGTCCATATTTCTGTCAAGCCCATCCATTGCATTTTTTACTTAATTAATTAATTAATTAATTTTCATACAGATGGAGTCTCATTTGTGGCCCAGGCTGGTCTCAAACTCCTGATCTCAAGTGATCCTCTTGCCTTGGCCTCCCAAAGCATTAGGTTTATAGATGTAGGCCACTGCACCTGGTCTCAGCTTTTCTCTTTTTTTTTTTAGATGGAGTTTTGATCTATACCCCAGGCTGGAGTGCAGTGGTGTGATGGGCTCACTGCCATCTCAGCCTCCCGGATTCAAACGATTCTCTTGCCTCAGCTTCCCAAGTAGCTGAGATTACAAGTGTGTGCCACCATGCCCAGCAAATTTTTTTGTATTTTTAGTAGAGACGAGATTTTACTGTGTTGGCCAGGCTGGTCTCGAACTCCTGACCTCAAGTGATCCATCTGCCTTGGCCTACCAAAATGCCAGGATTACGGGCATGAGCCACCATGCCCAGCTGCCTCAGTTTATTTTTAATTTTAGAATCTCCATTTAGTTTTTTATATCTTCTCTTTCTTTGCTGAGACTTTTTATTTTTTATTTTTTAAAAGTGGCTGGGTGTGGTGGCTCACTCCTATAATCCCAGCACTTTGGGAGGCTCAGGTGGGAAGAACACATGAGCCTGGGAGTTCAGGACCAGCCTGAGCAACATAGCAAGACCCTGTGTCTACAAAAATAAAAAGATAAAAATTAGCCAGGTGTAGTGGTGTATGCCTGTATTCCCAGCTATTTAGGATGCTAAGGGCAAGGATTCCTTGACCCCTGGAGATTGAGGCTGCGGTTGGCTGTGATGGCACTGCTGTATTCCAGCCTGGGCCACAGTGTGTTTGTAACTGTCCATTGAAGCATTTTTATGGTTGCTGTTTTAAAGTCTTTGTCAGATAATTCTAATATCTCTGTCATCTTGATGTTGGCATCAGTTAATCTCTTCTCATTGAAGTTCAGATTTTTCTGATTCTTAGTATAGTCAGTGAAATATGCAGAAATTATTTCTGCATAATGTCACGGGTGTTGTCTCCATTCTTAGACTTTTCCATGGCAGCCTATAAAATCTTTTAACCCTCAGGCAGCTGCCATCCTGTACATTCACGTACACTCACAAATACACACAAATTAATATCACAGTGTCACCTTCACTAAAGTATCACAGATATTTTAAAAAAATAGATGTGGGTTTCACTCGTTCGTAGTACTAGTAACTTGATACAACTGACAAACAGGAAGAGCATTTTTTAAATCTTGCATATTAATATTTGAGGAGAAGCAGAGTTGATCACTAAAGGGTAGGATGGAGAGGTAGAGAACCTGGAGGGGACATTTGGGTCTTTAGAGAGTGGTAAAACGGGTTATTCTGATTACCATCATTTGGAAATGTCACCATTTCTTTTCTATTGGCTTCACACAATACCTGGTGTATGGTAGGGGCTCCGTAAGGACATGACTACAGAGGGTGTTTTGGGGCCGACAGTTGGAGTCTGTGCACACTGCTTTCCTTTAGAAGGGCATACAATTTAGTACGTTTCTTATTTTGCTTTGGGGTGGCTGTCCTGTCTGTAACTGTTTTCGTATCTCATTGACTGTCTTTTTTTGGCCTCGGTGTCTTCATATCTTGGCTTATGGTTTGAACTTGTTGGAGTTATTGTTGAGACCCTAAGCCCTGGTCTCAAATTGATCTTGTAGCTTTTCCCTATCTTTGTCAGGGCTTTGTGCCCTATAACTCTTTTAAATGTGTTTTTAAATGGGCCAGGAATGGTGGCTCATGCCTGTAATCCCGGCATTTGGGAGGCTGAGGAGGGCAGATCACGAGTTCAGGAGTCCAAGACCAGCCTGGCCAACATGGTGAACCCCTGTCTCTACTAAAAATACAAAAATTAGCTGGGCATGGTGGCGTGTGCCTGTAATCCCAGCTACTCGGGAGGCTGAGGCAGGAGAATTACTTGTACTGGGACACAAGAGGCAGAGGTTGCAGTGAGCCGAGATCGTGCCACTGCACTCCAGCCTGGGCTACAGAGCAAGACTCTGTCCCCCTCCCAAAAAAATGTTTTAGAATTAAATATTTCAAATATGAACGTATGGAAGATAGAACAATTAACCTCTGTACACTCGTCCCTAATTCCCTCTGTGGTGCTTGGCTCCTGCTGTAGAGCCCACAGTGTCTTCTGGCAGCTGACCTCGTCCTGCCATTCGTGCTGGGAACTCAGTAGCTTTTGTGTGTGGGTGTATTTTTCCTGGAGCTTTTCACATTTTTACTCTCCAATGGAAGGTGTGGGGAAATGGGTCAGATGGACTGTGTAGGACCTGCTGGCTGGTAGCCTGATTTTTCTTTTTGCCTCCTTTGTGTTTTCATGTCACTACAGTTTCTACATGTATATGCTAGTAATAATTATTCATTCATTTATCCATTCCAGACATGGTCTTTATTCTTAGAAGTTATATTTAGGTAGTGGAAATGCAAAATCAGTAAAACAGAGAACAAAGAGGTAGGTTTCCTAAGAATTTAAAAGAGGGAGAAAGTACTTCCAGTTGGACAAATCTGCGAAGGTAGATTTGAGACAGTTTTCGATTTGGATTTGGATATGGGAAGATCAGAGGAGTGGTGCTGCAGTCCCAAGTGAAGAATGCCTGGAGGCACGGGTACAGAGACCGGCGTGCATCCCGGAGGCGCGGGTACAGAGAGCGGCGTGCATCCCAGAGGCACGGGTACAGAGAGCGGCGTGCATCCCGGAGGCACGGGTATAGAGACCGGTGTGCATCCCGGAGGCACGGGTGCAGAGAGCGGCGTGCATCCCGGAGGCACGGGTGCAGAGACCGGTGTGCATACCGGAGGCACGGGTACAGAGACCGATGTGTATCCCGGAGGCACGGGTACAGACACCGGTGTGCATCCCGGAGGCACGGGTACAGAGAGCGGCGTGCATCCCGGAGGCCCGGGGTTGGAGACATGGGGATCGAGAGCAGTGTGCACCCTGGAGGCACAGAGATGGAGAGCAGTGTGCACCCTGGAGGCACGGGGATGGAGACACAGGGATGGAGAGCAGTGTGCATCCTGGAGGCACGGGGATGGAGAGTAGTGTGCATCCCGGCGGTCTGAGATAAAGAACGGAGATGCCAAATAAAGTTGCATCCCTAGAGTCCTTTGAAAGAGAGATCTATGGTATTACCTATCACCATCCTATCAAATAAGGGGCCTGATGGTAGAGGATCCTGTCAAGTAGAGGATCTGTGAAATAGGATGTGTGGACACATCCTATTGGAATGACCCATCTGAGCTGTAATGAGCACCTCACTAATCCCGAATTGCAGGGCTGCCAATCGCAGATGCACAGGTTATACCCTGAATAAGCACCCTGCAGAGTTAACAGATAGAGCTAAAACACAGCCGGGCTCTGCCAGCAGAACTGGTGCAGGCCTGTTTCCACCCGCAGAGGCATCCTTTTCTAATTTACCCAATGCACCATGAGGCTTCAGATCTGTTTCTTAATGGTCCTCACATATCGTGGCCAACTATTTATAATCTTACTGTCATATAATTTGCTAAATGATTGCCTTTAGCCACCTGTAGGGACTCAGTCATCACTTTGAAGACTGGCTCTATATCAGACATTTGCAGAAATTCAGAAGGACGTGCTCTAGATGTTTCATTTTTGCCTTCTACTCTCCTTGTCGCCAGCATTAGGTTAGATGCTCAGAATCTTTCCACCTTCTGTCTCCTTGCAAGTGAGGATGTGGCTGCTGAACTGCTAAGTGCCCACCTCCGTGGGTGACCTGAAGTACACAGGCCACTGGGCCTCATGCCTTTTTGCTGTTCCAGTGTCTGGTGCTTCCCGTCTCTTTAGGGCTGTCTTGCTCTGTCTGTGTCCTGCTACCTGCTGTTGCTACTGCTGCTCCTAAGCCCTCTGTTCTTGCTTCTGTCCCCATCATCCCAGTTGGTTTAATTCTGGAAAGGGAGAGATTCATTAGAGAAAAAAAGAGAATTACAAGTGCAGAAAAGACAGGGAGGATAATGAAGGGAGGAAAATTGGGAGTGATGTAGCAGTAGAGGGCAGGGAAATAACAATAAAAGCAATTTTGCAATTATAGTGGGATTGATGGTGACAAACCCTGGAGTGAACATTTCACAGGTAGGGGTATTTCTGGCACTGTCATTTGAGCCTCAGTAACAAGGTGACCTTGCTTTCCTCAGGTGTCCTCATGACTTCTCTTGTGGACCATGTCCATGATCTTTTTTGCCTGTGTGGTACGGGTAAGGGATGGACTGCCCCTCTCGGCCTCTACTGATTTTTACCACACCCAGGATTTTCTGGAATGGAAGAGACGGCTCAAGACTTTAGGCTTGCGACTGGCCCAGTATCCAGGTCGAGGCTCTGCAGAAGGCCGTGACTTTAGTATACAGTAAGTGAGCATATACACTTTTTCAGAATCTTAGCAAAATTTGGATTACTTTTAACTACATGTAGTGGTAACCTTATGCTGATCACATTGTGTATTAAAAGCAGATCTAGCATCGGTGGTCTGAGGTCATGTGTGTCTATAACAATCATGAAAGAAATGGGTTTTCTTAGAGCCTCAAGCATGACTGCTCCATGGTTTTTTTTTTTTTGGTTTTTTTTTTAAGAGACAGAATTAGGCTGTGTCAGCCAGGCTGGAGTGCTGTGGTGCCATCTTGGCTCACTGCAACCTCGGCCTCCTGGGTTCAAGCGATTCTTGTGCCTCGGCCTCCTTAGTAGTTGGGATTACAGGCACACATCATGATGCCCAGCTAATTTTTGTATTTTTAGTAGAGACGGGGTTTCACCACGTTGCCAAGGCTGGTCCTGAATTCCTGAACTTAGGTGAGCCACCTGCCTCGGCTTCTCAGTGCTGGGATTGATTACAGGTGTGAGCCACCATGCCCAGCCATGGCTGCTCCAGCACTTAACTTCTGCTAATGGAGTGCCCATGAGCATTGGGAGATCTGGGTTCATGCCTTTAGTTTTATAGTTTTTTCTTCACTCAGATGCAGGGAAGGAAGAGATAAGGAGGGAGGAGATCCTAGATTATAATGTCGGAGAGGGAAAATAACAAGAGTTAGAAAGCCAAGAAAATAAGAAAAAATATTTCATTTATAGCTCTTCAGTTTTTTTGCTTTTTAATGTTTTCACTTTACATTTTAATTTTTTGCTTTTTAATTTTTAATTTTTATTATTATTTTTGAGACAGAGTTTCGCTCTTGTCATCCAGGCTGGAATACAGTGGCGTGCTCTCTGCTCACTGCAACCTCTGCCTCATGGGTCAACTGATTCTCCCGCCTCAGCCTCCTGTGTAGCTGGGATTATGGGTGCCCGCCACCATGCCTGGCTAATTTTTGAAGTTTTTAGTAGGACGGGGTTTCCCCATGTTGGCCAGGCTGCTCTCGAACTTCTGACCTCAGGTGATCTGCCCGCCTTGGCCTCCCAAAGTGCTGGGATTACAGGCGTAAGCCACCGTGCCCAGCCATTTAAAAATTTTTATTATGTGACGGGATCAGGGGAGTGAAAAGTAAGTGAGAGTAGTAGGTCTCTCTTCTCAAGGAACTTAAAAGTCTAACGAGGTAACAAGAGAAATATATAACTAACTATAATACAGTGGGGAAAATGTTCCAGTGGAAGTAGGAATCAAGTGATTACAATAATCCTGATTATCATAACTAATATTATTGAGTGCCTTCTGTATGGCAGGGACTATTCTGTGTTTCATGTGGCTTATGATGTGGATAATAGTATTACGTCTGTTTTGCAGAGGAGGAAACTAAGTAAAAAAACTTAACTAATGTTACACTGTTAGAAACTGGTCAGCCCAGCATTTGAATGCAGGCAGTTAGGCACCAAAATTTGCTTCTTATGGGTTATACAATTTCCTGTTCTAGGACTCAGAGCAAGAAGCCATTCTGTGGAGGCATCAGGGGTAAGGCAGATTTTAGAATATCAAAATGGCTTGTTAGATTTTATGTCTATTTTCTCTTGTATTTAGACCTTCACTTACCAAGTCCCTTTTGCTCTCCTTACGTTTTTATTTTTAATTTTATTTTTTAGAGACAGGGTCTTCGCTGGGCACAGTGGTTCATGCCTGTAATCCCAGCACTTTGGGAGGCTGAGGTGGGAGGATTGCTTCAGCCCAGGAGTTCAAGACCAGCCTGGGCAATATGATGAGACCCATCTCTGTAAAAAAATTTAAAAATTACCCAGGTGTGGTAGGGTACACCTGTAGTTCCAGCTACTTGGGAGGATGAGGTGGGAGGATTGCTCAAGCCCAGGAGGTCGAGGCTACAGTGAGCCATGTTCACACCTCAGCCTCCCAAGTAGCTGGAACTCCGTCTCTAGCTAGATAGGTAGATTAGACAGACAGATTGATGGATAGTTAGCCTCCCAAGTAGCTGAGTCTACAGTTACACACCACTACACCTAGCTAATTTATTTTTTAGAGACAGGGTCTTGCCATGTTGCCCAGGCTGGTCTTGAACTCCTGGGCTCAAGTGACTCTCCCGCCGTGGCCTTCCAAAGCCCTGGGATTATAGGTATAAGCCACTGTGCCTGGCCCCTTTTTATTCTCCTTGAATAGCAAATTTTTAGTTGACCTGCTAAGCTGAGGTCCTTTTAGGGGAATTCAGTCTCAGAATTATAAAAACAAAAGGAAAAGTCCAGGCCTGACACCAGGCAGGTGATAATGTCAATCTTGAAGGGCCACGTCCTGAAGGGGGTGACAAATAATAGGCACATGCATCTGTCACCTGGTAATATGGGCTCTGGCTGTTGAGGAGCAAACACTGAGCTGCACCTGCCTCAGATGCAGCCCCTTTCTCTGAGTACCAGAACATGGCTTTCTTGAAGGTCTCTTCTTCACTGTGCTGTGATTAATTGATTCGTGCTGTACCGCATATAGGAAGCCTTTCCTCTGTTACAGGCTATTTTTCACAGAAAACAGAAGTTTAAGACTTAAGAATTAAATCTTGAGTACTTCAGTAGTTTTTCTGGAAAAAGGAATAAAATTTTTTTTACTCATTTGTAATTTTGAATTAAATATTTACCATTATTTTAGCAGAAGAAACAGACTTTCTTTTCTTACAGGTGAGCAGTGCTATAGCTTTTAATACTTAAGGAGTTGTGTTAGTTTCCTAAGGCTGCCATAACAAACTGGCTTCAAACAACAGAACTTACTCTGTCACAGGTACTACAGGGCCATGTTCCCTCTGCAAACTTGAAGGGATCCTTCCCAAACCTCTGCTGCTTTCTGCCAGTCATGGGTCATAGATGCCTTACTGCCGTCACTATCCCCGTGGTTGCATGGTCTTCTTCCCTCTGTCTCTGTGTCCAAATTTCCTTTCTTGTAAGGATACCAGATACATGAGGGCTCAAGCTATTCAGTATGACTTCATTTTATCTTGGTTACATTGTCAAGACTATTTCTTTGAGTTAGGACATCAATAAATCTTTTTGTGGGGACACATTCAACCCACAGCAGGGGTCTCTTTCATATCGAAACACCTCCATCATAGAGTGGCCTAGACCCTTCTGAAGGATTTCTTCCATAAGGAGGAGAGTCATCTATTTTTTCACATTGGAAAAGTTTTTATATAGGGAGTTACAGTTTCAAAAAGATGGTAGAACAACACAACCTAAAAACCTCCTGCTGAAAACACCCAGAAATTAGGGTAAATATATATCAGCAATTACTTTAAATGTGTACTTAAGCTTGAAAGAAAGAAAACTTAAGATGCTAGAAATAAAAAGAGAGCAGAATATTAAGGTAGTAAGTGTGTACGTGGACACTGAGGCATTCAGTCACAGCAGAATTGGGGCTTGGTTTGGGCTTACATAGGGTGGAGTGTCAGAACAAGACCCCTGTGGCTGGGTGCAGTGGGTCACGCCTATAATCCCAGTACTTTGGAAGGTTGAGTTAGGCAGATTGAACCCAGTGGTTTGAGGCCAGCCTGGGCAGCATGGCAAGACCCCATCTCTACAAAAGCACAAAAAGTTAGCTGGGTGTGGTGGTGCATACCTACAGTCCCAGCTACTTGGGAGGTTGAGGTAGGAGGATGGCTTGAGCCTGGGAGGTGGAGGCCACAGTGACCTGAGCTTGTGCCATTGCACTCTAGCCTGGGTGACAGAGTGAGAAAAAAAAGACCCTTGCATAAAGGAAAGTTCTTGTCATGCCACAACCTAATGAAGTGATGATAGGTGAGAAAAGTAGTTTGCCCATGGATACAGAGTGACTCACCTCTACTTGGCTTTGTGTGGGAAGGAAAAGTCAATTTCACCTAAGAGACTGAAATGTTGTTCTTGTGCCTTGTAAAAGGTTGGAGCTGAAGTTTATACTCCCCAAAGTCTAGGAATTCCTAAGCCAAGGTTGAAACGTCGGTATTGGCCCCAGAGTGATGACACTGCTTTGGTAGGTGGCCAGAGCAAATGCAGAACCACTCTGGAGGAAATGTGCCACAACTCGGGCCTCAGGGGACCCTTACGGGAAGAAATCCTACAGGGACGAGCTTTCAGCAAAACATGACAAAACGCAAGAGGAGATGTTCCACAGTGAGCAGGAGTCAGTAGACACACAGATAGGTGACCTAGAGTCCCCGTCCCCTGAGCCTGCCATGATAGCATGACAGCCCAAAAGGGAGCAGAAAAAGAAGAAAAGCCCTGCATTTATTTCATGAGACCAGAATAACCTAAATACCACAAGCGGATGAAGACAGCATAAGAAAGGAAAATCATAGGCTAGTCTTATTTGCATAGACACAAAAGTCCCAATTAAAATGTTAGCAAACGAAATCCAGCAGTTGTGTGTTTATGAATATATAGGAACTTACATCCATCAAGAGCTTATTTTAGGATGCCAGGATGATTTAATATTAGGAAATCTATTGATGTAGATTAAAGAAGAAAAACATTTGCTCAATAGATGTGGAGAAGTCTGAGGCTAATTCCCCACATAGAATATGCATTCCTCATGCATGAATAAATAAGAGTGATCACCGGCTGTCACTGACTAAGACTGCTAGACATTTTAAAGAAAATGGAAGAAAGTCTCAGGAATAGGTCAAACTGAAGAGACATTCTACTTGCAACAAACAGCTGCAAGACTGTTTAAAGCCAAGCAAGTGCAGGGTTGGTGTCAGGTTGTGTTTGGGTGTGGGGTGGGATTTGTGGCTCTGTGTCCTGGTAATGCAGATGTTGCCCTTTTGTTTCAGTTTTTCTTCTTTCGGAGACGTGGCCTGCATGGCTATCTGCTCCTGCCAGTGCCCAGCAGCCATGGCCTTCTGCTTCCTGGAGACGCTGTGGTGGGAATTCACAGCTTCCTATGACACCACCTGCATTGGCCTAGCCTCCAGGCCATACGCTTTTCTTGAGTTTGGTTTGTAATCTTCTTTCATATTTATTGTTCTCATCCATGTTGTTATATGTGTAGAATTTACAGTTTAGGTTTGGCTTTGACCATCAGGAAAGCCATTGGAGATGCAAAACATGTCATTGAAGAGTAGACTTGTACCGTGGGATTTCATAGCGATTGAAGTGGCCTGGAAAGCTTCAAGGTTTAACACTCTGGCTTTTCATCTCCACAGAGTCTGGGCCAGGGTGGAGGGAGAGTGAAATGGGTTGGTTATAATCCACAGCTTTCTGAGGCTGGGGTCAGCAAATGCTGGCCCTTAGGCCAGCCGCCAGCCACATGTTTTGTAAATAAAGTGGAGCACGGCTATGCTCATTCATTTACATGTTGTCTGTGGCTGCTTTTGCCCTATGACAGCAGAGTTGAGTTGCAACAGAGACCACGTAGCCAGCAGCCTAAAATATTTACTAACTGGCACTGTAAGAAAATTTTGTTGACCCCTGCCTTAGAGCATTGCTACTCAAAGCTCAGGAGTTCGAGACCAGCCTGGCAATATAATGAGACCTTGTCTCTATAGAAAAATAATTTAAAAATGAAAAAAATTAGCCAGGTATGGTGGTACACATCTGTGATTTCAGCTACTTGGGAGGCTGAGGTGGGAGAATCACTTGAGCCCAGGGGGTCAAGGCTACAGTGAGTTGTGATCACACCACTTCATTGGACCCCACAGTGGTCAGCAGTGAGACTCTATCTTCAAAAAAAGAAATGTGAACTTCATTTAGTACATATTGTCTTGTAATATCCATTCTGATGAAAATGCCAAACTTGTGTTGCTCTCTTTTTGCAGACAGCATCATTCAGAAAATGAAGTGGCATTTTAACTACGTAAGATCCTCTCCGATGGAAAGCAGCCTGGAAAAAATTCATGAGGAGCTCAAGTTGCAGCCTCCAGTGGTTCTCACTCTGGAGGACACAGATGTGGCAAACGGGGTGATGAACGGTCACACACCGATGCCCTTTGAGCCTGGTAAGTGGCCTGCCGTTCACTGATGTTGATGAAGTGATACTATGTGTATTTCAAATGGACATTGTTTTTTTTTGTTTTTTTTTTTTTTTTGCTAGAAAGCTGTTTTTTGGGGAGAAGGAGTGGCATAAAATATGCTGAGAAAAATGTGGACCAATCCTATTTCTTGGTGGCTGTTATAAAAAATTTGACTACAGGCCAGGTGCGAAGGCTCACACCTATAATCCTAGCACTTTGGAAGGCCAAGGCAGGCAGACAACTTGAGTCCCGGAGTTCGAGACCAGCCTGGGTGACATGGAGAAACCCCATCTTTATCAAAAATACAAAAAAGTAGCCAGAGGTGGTGGCTTGTGCCTGTAGTCCCAGCTACTCCAGAGACTGAGGTGGGAGAATCACCTGAGCCCAGAACGTCCAGGGTGCAGTGAGCCATGATCATGAGCCACTGCACTCTCGCCTGGGTGACAGAATGAGAACCTGACTCAAAAAAGAAAAAATGAACTATTAAGACAGTGGGTTGGTTTGAGGGAGGCTATTGTGATGAAATTCAGGAGCTGAAGACTGATTTGGCAGGCTATTTTCTTTTCTCCTTCTTCTTCTTCTTTTTTTTTTTTTTTTTTTTAAATAGAGGCAAGGTTTCCCATGTTACCACCCAGGCTGGCCTCGAACTCCTGGGCTCAAGCCATCATCCTCCCACCTCGGCCTTTCAGAATGTTGGGATTACAGGTGTGATCTACCATGCCCAGCTGGCAGGTTATTTTCTTAATTAGGATTAAATCTACAAGTTTATTATTATTATTATTATTAATTTTTGAGGCAGAGTGTCACTCTGTCACCCAGGCTGGAGTGCAGTGGAACAATCTCGGCTCACTGCAACCTCTGCCTCCCAGGTTCAAGTGATTCTCCTGCCTCAGCCTTCCGAGTAGCTGGGACTATAGGCGTGTGCCACCATGTCTGGCTAAATTTTGTATTTTTTAGTAGAAATGGGGTTTCACCATATTGGACGGGCTGGTCTTGAACTCTTGACCTTATGATCCGCCCGCTTCAGCTTCCCAAAGTGCTGAGATTACAGGCGTGAGCCACTGCAAGTTTATTATTTTTAAATTTTATCTATTTATTTATTTATTAAGTCCAAGTTGTTCTGACAGAACTACAAGTTTAAATGTTATAAAGAAGATTCATTCTCTTTTCTGTAAGTTACCTATTGAACCGTATAGATTTGTGTATATATATATATATATATATATATATATATATATATACACAAATCTATGTGTATATAAAATACACACATATATATATGTGTATGTGTACATATATATATATATATATATGTAGAGAGAGAGAAAGAGAGAGAGAGAGAGAGAGTCAGAGACAGAGACAGAGACAGAGACAGAGAGAGAGAAAATCCTTATCTCGTCATCTTATGTAGTGAAACCCCTGCTCTGGTTGGAGGGAGGGCAATGGAGATAGAGCCTGGGCTTCTAATGTTCTCACTGTCTGGCTGTCCCTGAGAACTGCGATCTCCCTCTGTCCCTGTGGATTTCAGGGGCCTCATCTGAAGAAAGACGTCTTAATGAATGTGATCACAGTACCCTGACATTCCATGACTTTGTCATTAATGTCTTTAGCCACTCAATGCTTAGCACATAACAAAGCATGATTTTTTGCATTCCTGTTTACAGTTACATATAATTAAATTAATATTTAATTAAGTGGATATTTACATTCTAAGAATTCTGTCATGGCATAAGAGCTGAATCCGTTGCTAAAGGATGGTCTCACTATAGTAGTCTAATTATTTTGTTTTTAACTGTTTTATGCTAAACTCATTTCTTGAATTTAAAAAGTGATGTATTAAAAATGTTCATGGTTTTGACTTAACTTTGTGTTTTAGTATGTGTTTCAGCCAATAATTGGATTGGCTCTCATGCCCGTCAATGAGTGGTTCCAGTTTATATTGAGAATAAACTTAATTTTTGCAAAAGGAAGACTGGGTAATCGAGCGCCAAGCTTCTCCCTTATCATATACGAGTGCAGGCATATCTTTGTAATCTATATTTTGTTTTTAAACACTTAGACAAGAGGAGCAAACCCAGAAAGTGTCACCTTGCCCGTCTTTCTGGGACATTTTACTGTGATTGATTTACCCTGTTGTCCTGAGGTTAGACTCTTTACAGGTAGCATATTCTGTTCTAACAGTAACTGAATTGCTCAGTGGAAACTCTAACACACTAACAATAGGCATAGTTGGATTGTGGCTAGTATTTGTGTGTGTACGAAATATAAGGGCAAGAAAGGAGGATAGCGAGAGAATGGGAGGGACACCAGTTAATTGTGTGAACCAAAATCAATTCCAGTGGTTGTCTTTACAGGGAAAATGAAAATTTGTTTTAACTATAGTTCTAGAAACAGCTTGTAACCTAAATAATCAATGTTTCCTCCTTTCCAATTAGTTTAGAATTTTAAAAATTACATTTGCTGTGACTTGCTCTAGAAGCGCATATGACATCGCATATTGTCATTGTCAGAAAGAGGACAAGCTCGGTGTTGAGGCGTATGATAGAAATGCTTTAAACATTTAACAACCAATTTTTTTTAAGACTGTAACATGGAAAAAATGTTTATATGTTAAGTACAAAAGGGACATAAAATTGTATATACAGTAGAAGGACGGCTATGTAAACACACCAAAAATCTATGCACAGATACGTCTAGGGGAATATTTAACACCAAAAGATAACAGTGGTACCATTTGGGTGGCAAACTGATTCTTTGTAAAATTCCTAAATTTTCCTTAATAAGCAGTAATTACAATCGCAATGGGAAATAATTTTTTTTTAAAGAGACATTGTTTTATTTATTTAATTTTTTTTTGAGACAGGGTCTTGCTCTGTCGTCCAGGCTAAAGTAGAGTGGTAGGATCTCTGCTTACTGCAACCTCCACCTGCAGGGCTCAAGCTATCTTCCCACCTTAGCTTTCTGAGTAGCTGGGACTACACCTGGCTAATTTTGTGCGTGTGTGTGTGTGTGTGTGTGTGTGTGTGTGTGTGTGTGTCTCCATATATATATATATATATATATATATATATATTTTTTTTTTTTTTTTTTTTTGATAGAGATGGGGTTTCACCAGGTTGCCCAGCTAGTCTTGAACTCTAGAGTTCAAGTGATTCTCTCACCTTAGCCTCCCAAAGTGCTGAGATTACAGGCATGAGCCACCGCACCTGAACTTTTTTTATTTTTTTGACACAAGGTCTTGCTCTGTTGCCCAGGCTTGAGTGCAGTGGTGCAATCATGGCTCACTGCAGCCTCAGCCTCCCAGGCTCAGATGATCCTCCCACCTCAGCCTTCTAGGTAGCTGGAACTACAGGTATGTGTCACCATGCCTGGATAATTTTTTGTATTTTTTTTTGTAGCGACAGGGTCGCACTATATTGCCCAGGCTGGTTTTGAACTCCTGGGCTCAAGCGACCTATTGCCTGCCTCAGCCTCCCAGAGCACTGGCATTATAGGTGCGCACCACCAAGTCTGACCCAGGAATTGTTTTAGGATTTTTCAGCCTAATCCCTATTGACGTTTTTGCATCAGATAATTCTTTATTACGGAGGCTGTCCTGTACATTCATTGTAGGATGTTTAGAAGCATTCCTGGCCTCTACCCACTAGATGCCAGCAGCAGTCTGTCTCTAGTTATGACAACCAGAAATGACTTCAGACATTGCCACATGTCCACTGGGGGGCAGATTGCCCCTGGTTGAAAACCACTACTTTAGATAGAAAGGAAATTCAGCACTTGAAAAATCTGTGCTTGCCTGGAAAAGAGCCTTTTTCTGGAAGAAACTTTCGTCAGGTACCCACATCCATTCTGTCTATCATTTCTTGCCTTTTTTCCTCTCTAACTTCTGCTGCTTTTACAATTAATATGTTTATAATTCTGTGTTTAACATAGTGAACCTATCATTAGTGTAAGTCTAGTTCATGTCTGTATTTTTCTTTCATATAGAAATTATTTTCACTAGACACTTGTTTTTTTTTCCTTGTGAAGCTCCTAATTTCCGAATGGAACCAGTGACAGCCCTGGGCATCCTCTCGCTCATTCTCAACATCATGTGTGCCGCCCTGAATCTCATTCGTGGAGTTCACCTTGCAGAACATTCTTTACAGGTAACCTTTTTTTTTTTTTTTTTTTAACAGTTTAAATTGAAGGACATATGACAGAAGAAAGTGATAGGGATACATTTTATCTACAATGTTATTATACACTGAGGTTACAATTTTTCAAATCTAATATGAATTTTATTCTTTATAGTAAGTCGAATGACTCTGAAAGTTGCTTTTTTATGTTGTTGCCCTAAGAGGCCAGAGGGGCGTGCCAAGATATTGGTAACAAATGGAGAATTTGCAGCAAGGACTTTAGACCACCCTGTGGCTGTTGGGACCCCAGGAGTCACTCCAGGGACTGGATTGTTTACCCAGGATGGAAGTTTCATTCTCTCATTTTAAGGGTTCAGGCCCTTTTTCACCTGAGAAAATACTGTCCTGTAATCTGATTTAGATAATGCAGATGCTACCTTCCTTGTGTCTTGTCAATGAATTACATATCACTAGGAAGTTCCTTCCCTGGTCTGCTCATCTCAGAGGAACTTACTGTTTCAATGCTTTTTAAAAATAGTTTTAAAATTTTGAAGTATTTAAAATACTTTAAGAAGGTATAAGCTGAGTGCGGTGGTTCATATCTGTAATCCCAGCACTTTGGGAAGTTGAGGCGGGTGGATCACCTGAGGTCAGTAGTTCGAGACCAGCCTGGCCAACATGGTGAAACCCTATCTCTACTAAAAATACAAAATTAGCCTGGCATGGTGGTGCATGCCTGTAATCCTAGCTACTCGGGAGGCTGAGGTGGGAGAGTTGCTTGAAACCAGGAGGCAGAGGTTGCAGTGAGCCGAGATCGTGCCATTGCACTCCAGCCTGGGCAAAAAGGAGAAACTTTGTCTCAAAAAAAAAAAAAAAAAAGTATAGAACCATTATTAGTATCAACAGATAGATATTACTTTTAAAGATAGAGCCACCATGTTCACACTCACGTACATGATGGGTAAAGTCTGAAGCATGACTGATACTGAATCTCAGGAGACTAATGGAGACCTACCTGTTTGGAGAATGGCAGCAGGCCTGTGTTATGAGTGGTAGTTGCCTCTTATCACATCCTGTTTTTGATCAATGTATGATGTGAGTTCTACTCTTATTGATTATGATTGCTCTTTTTTTTTTTTTGAGACGGAGTTTCGCTTTTGTCACCCAGGCTGGAGTGCAATGGCGCGATCTCGGCTCACCGCAACCTCCGCCTCCTGGGTTCAGGCAATTCTCCTGCCTCAGCCTCATGAGTAGCTGGGATTACAGGCATGAGCCACCATGCCCAGCTAATTTTTTGTATTTTTAGTAGAGACGGGGTTTCACTATGTTGACCGGGATGGTCTCGATCTCTCGACCTAGTGATCCACCCGCCTCGGCCTCCCAAAGTGCTGGGATTACAGGCTTGAGCCACCGCACCCGGCTATGATTGCTCTTAACTAGCTGCTTACCAACCGACCCGTCTGTTTGTTTGTATACATTAGAATAGGTACCTGGCCAGCAAGATAGTTAAGACATAGTCCCTCCCTGCCTTGGGGACTCTTGTGGCCCAAAACAGTGTGTGGTAGCAACATTAAGGAGGTGGCAGTGCCTGGGAATGGGAGGAATTAGAGAAAGCTTAGTCTTGACAGATGCTTAGGGTTCTGAGAGGTGGAGGGATGGGCGGCTCATTCCAGGTTGAAGGCAGGAGGCACGTGCTGTGACCAGGCTGTTGAAAACGGTTACATGCTAATGCTGACCTGGTGCATAAACAGTAACGCATCTCACCCAGCCAGGGTTTGTACTGTCAACCATACCAGATGGAAGGCGGAGTGAAGTGCTTTATGTCCTAGGGTTTTCTTTCATCTAAATATCCCTTTCCCTGTGTTCCTTGTGTTTGTTTTAGGTTGCCCATGAGGAAATGGGAAACATTCTGGCTTTTCTTGTTCCTTTTGTAGCCTGCATTTTCCAGGTGGGTGAAACGGTATTTTGATGAGTGGATTAAATCCCCGACCTTATTTTGTTCTTCATCTATCAGCAAGTTTCTACTTGTGATTTTTGTTCCACCAAGGTCATGGTTCAAATCAAGGGCAATACCGAGCCCTTAGTGGAGGACCTTAGTCCCATCCTGCCCAGTCCTTTCATTTTACAGAGGAAGAACTTAGTGCTCAGAAAGGGAAAGCCCCTTGTTCAAGGCCAAGGGTGGCTCATGCCTGTAATCCTAGCACTTCGGGAGGCCAAGGTCTGCAGATCACTTGAGGCCAGGAGTTCAAGACCAGCCTGGGCAACAGGTGAAACCCTATCCCTATTATAATAGAAATACAAAAATTAGCTGAGTATGGTGCTGCATACCTATTGTCCCAGCTACTCAGAAGGCTGAGGTATGAGAATTGCTTGAACCAGGGAGGCAGAGGTTGCAGTGAGCTGAGATCAATGCCACTGAATTCCAGCCTGGACAACAGAGCAAGACATTGTCTGAAAGAAGGAGTAAAAGCATTACCTGATTGTCCAAAAAGAAATTTTCAACCCATGAAAATGCACTCATTTTTCAGAAAACAAGTCTCCGAGACCGTGGGCATAGCCAGTGGCAGTTCCCTAGAGCAGTGTTTTAGGACTGCAGGGATGGCACAGTTCTACCTCATTCCTTCAGCTGTGTTCCTAGTTGGATAGCTCCTTCAATGGAGGGCTCACTCCCTCCCTCTGTAGATTGAACCTTTGTTGGATTGATCCATGTTCAGTGAATGCCCTTTAAAAAAAAACAAAAAACAAACAACATTGAACCAAAATGCTGTTTCCACCTTCTGCAGAACAAGAATGGCCCCTTTTATGTGTGATAGTCATATACAAAATCCCAGTCCTTCTCCCTACTGAGCGACCTTTCCCCGACTCAGAGATGCTGTGGAAGACGTGATAAGGAGGAGGCTGCCCAAGGGAAGAGCGGGACTCAGGGTAGTCGTGGCTCAGGAGAAACCCAAACAGTAAAGACACGGCTTCCTCTCACCAGCTTGCCTGCCTGTCATGGCTCCTTGAAGGAAACTTCTCTGGGAGGCCAGTCAGGCACGTTGGGGTCCCTGGCTTGGCTGTCTGCAGCTTATCTGCAGCCCTTCTCTACAGCAGCCTGGGCCTTTCTATTTCTTGAACTTCTTTCAGATGTGCCATGCACTACTTCTTCCTGTGACATCAATTTCACTTTCCTTTCATCTTCAAATCCCCATGTTCATCCAGTGATTAGAAACAGCCTAACCAGTGGGTCCACGCTTCATTGTAATGAATTCAATTTAATCGGCTAGTGTGAGAGAAATGACACTCTTCATGGAAGCTGTGGGAGGTGAATTTTGCGTGTTATCTAGCGGCCATTTTGTCTCTGATTGGAATTCCTCTTCTGGTCTCGTTTCAGTGTTACCTGTACCTGTTCTACAGCCCTGCCAGGACTATGAAGGTGCTGCTGCTGCTGCTCTTCATTTGCCTGGGCAACGTGTACCTGCACGGGCTGAGGAACCTTTGGCAAATCCTGTTCCACATAGGAGTGGCTGTTCTGTCTTCATATCAGATACTAACAAGGCAGCTTCAGGAGAAGCAGTCTGACTGTGGAGTATGAGGATGACACTGTGGTGAATGGATTCTTTGATTTTCTTTTGAGAATCAGTCTATGTTTCTCTTTCTGCTTCTCTACTTTACACTCCAGTTTCCACCCTTTTCAGCCACTGGACTGAAGAACAAGGAATTGGGGATGTGAAACAGTTGCAGTGGAAGTCATGAGGCCGCTTGATACCCAGCCTTGGTTCTGTGCCGAGCGTGACTGCAGGGTCCCCAATTCAGCACGTTGACTTAGGACAGCTGGATCTGGGGCCTCATCCAGAAAGAGCTTTACTGGAAGAGCCGAAAGGAAATATTTTGGTCTTTTAAATTGAATGATGCAGTAACCCACTAGATTCAGTAACACTGGTTTTAGTAATTGGCAGTTGTCTCCAAGGAGCCACTTTAAAATCCAAATCAGCTTCAGTCTAAATATAAATTGGTTAGGTTTTTTTTTTTCCCCAGAGGGTCAGGGCAGGGTGAATTAAAAATCTAAAAATATGGTTTGTAAATATAAGCTAGATAAATTTTGTTTACATTTTTTGATATCTTAGGTTTGATATACCTTTGGAATATTTAAATATATTTTGGATATAATTTGGACTTCATTAATGGTGAGGGCAAACTTAAGCTGAGAAAATGGTTAAGAAATCTAGGTTAATTTAATTTATATGTATCCTTTTATGGTAGTGGGACTGTGTGGGTACAGAAATGTTATATATTTATTTGCAGGATGTATCTGAATACTTTTCAAATTAATTGAATAACCAGTACTACTAGATGATAAGTTTATCAGCATGAGCAGAAATGAGAATTTCAGGATTCTTCGCAGTCGGCCACAGCCTAGAGTAGATGAACACGGGTCCTGTGGCGCTCTAAGACCCGCTGGAGATGCGGCTCTCGTCGGCCTTTTCAGTAGAGCTGAGCGCCTGTTCTAATGACGGCGACTCCTGCACCCTGTGTACGGGTTCCCAGAGCGCCTCCAAAGTCATCACTCCTCTGCATCTTTCCCAGTCATCTTAATTAGCTTGAAGGCCTCATTTTTGATGAACAAGAGTTACATAGCTGTTAACTTTTTAAAGCTTTATAGAGATATAATTAACAATACTCTGGAAAGTTACTTTCTTTCATTGTCAAAAAATTGATCATGGTTTTCCAAAATATGGTTCTGGATAAGATCCCTTAGGTCTGCCAGAATTTCAGCCTGGCTTGTTTAGTGCCACTCAGGAGGCCATTTTGGGAGTTTGCTGTTTGGATTGCTCTCGGTAGAAGTCTGGAATCTGAATAGTTCAAACACAGTTACATGGAACATTTTTAGTTGAATTATGTAGTCTTGATAACGTTTTTTAAAAATCCTATTTTGATAGTTTTTAAAAGTGAAAAACCATTACAAAAGCTGAGTAGATAGGGAAAATAAGAACGTAGTTTTAGAAAGTTCAATTGTATTTGGTTATCACTGGTATTGTTATTGAGCTACCTTGGTATCATTTTAAGAAAAACGAATTTATATACTGGGAACTATGTTGGGAAAATGTTGCCATAGTAACTTTATTTTTTATAACAGAGTTTTCTATTTTTGGCCAAACATAGAATATCTGGATATGGGCCGGGCATGATGGCTAATGCCTGTATTCTCAGTACCTTGGAAGCCAGAGCAGGACAATCAGTTGAGGCCAGTTGTTTGAGACCAACCTGGAAAACATAGTAAGACCCGTCTCTACAAAAACAAACAAACAGCAACAAAAGAATTAGCCGGATGTGATGGCACATGCCTGTAATCACAGCACTTTGGGAGGCTGAGGCAGGAAGATCCCTGGAGTCCAGGAGTTTGAGGCTTCAGTGAGCTGTAATCACACCACTGCACCCTGGCCTGCATGACAGAGTGAAACCCTGTCTAAAAAGCCTGGACATGAAGATCATCTGGCAGCATACTCAGACATAAGCGCCAGCGTTGTCTCTCCATTGATTTCACATCTGCATAATTTTCTGCATACCCAGCAGGTGAATTTTCAGTCTTTCTGGGAGACAGTTTTGAAGAGATGGCAAAATAAAATGGGAAGTTAAGGAGGGGAGGAAAATCATTTTAAATGAGAAGCACAAAAAAGCTTTAAAGTCGATAAGAACAGCTTGAAAGTGGACTGTTTTCTTTTGAAGCCAGTGTGGCATTGGGTTGCCGTGTAGACCTGTACCCCGGGTGCTTTGGGCATCTGAGCCTGTGAGCCGCATTCAGCAGGCAGTAAAGAAACGGTCCTTGAGATGAGTCCTTCATGGTAATGCTTCCTGACCTCTGAGGCGCTACCTGAGATGTTATCCACACCAGGTCGAACGTGTGGATATCTGTTAATGTCTATGTGGGGTGAGATTGACTTTTGCAAACAAAAGGGAAAAGATGCACTAGGAGAGCAGTACAAATACTGACTACGACAGCTCTGTTTGACTGAATCCCGCTAGCTAAAAGAATCCTCAACTCCCGGAAGGAGAGACTGATAATAGGAAACAAGTTCTGGTGATTTCATCCAGGGGAATCCCCTCCCCAGGCTTAGGTTTGACTTGGTTCCAGGTCAAGAGGTTTATAACCTCCTGTGTGATCCTCCCTACCAGTAAACTGGTTCCAAATCCCAGGAGTTTCCTCACTCCGCTGCGGACTCACTGTTGTTGTAGCACTTTTGTTTTCCCGGTGGGTAAATGCTACCTGTGCAGCTGACCTCACTGGGCTAGATCTGGGAATAGATGAAATCATGTTGAAAACAAAACTTTAAAGGTGCCTTCTGGTATCAGATGCTGCAAGGCCTTGAGCATCAGAGTGTGTTAAGTCCCAGCTACTGTACCGGGGCCAGAGTATGGCTCAGTGCTCTTAGGAGGGGTTTTCCAACCAAGGGGCCAAAGCCCAAAAGGTTTCCCCTTCCCTAGTATGCTAGTGAAGGAAACGTGTTAGTCTGTTTCCCCCCATTAGGCTAGACTTACTGTGATGAGGACTGTGCTTGGCTTTCCTTTTCCTGAGTGGAGACAGCGGGGGCATATTCGGGTGGCATTCCCTGTCAGCACCAGAGGCCCCACTGCCTGCAGCAGGAGGCATGTGACTGTGAGCTCCTGGTTTTGCTTTTTGGGCTTGTATCCCTCTTTTCTGTGAACTCTGGAGAATGCTGAAATTAAAACATTAAAACATTTTGATTAAATGAGCTTGAGCTGTGTTCTTTTCTAGGTGCTCTTATTCTCCGACTCTCGTGCCGTTTTCTATCTCTACCCTATACACTCCGGCTCTGGAGACAGGCTGAAACTGGAGTCTGTGGAGGGATGAGAAAGCCACTTTTAATTGTAACGAATGGGGTGGGCAGACGAGCTTCAGAGTGGGAGAAGATTGCATTGAGGTTCACTCTCCCACCCATGCCTGGGAGTCAAGTCTTGGAGAGGACGAACACTCTTGGTCAGCACAGCTCAGAGTGAAAGACAACAGCCAGCAGGCCAGCAGCAAGGCGGGCCATGTGAGGCACGGGAAGCAGGGTGTAGGCAGGGAGCAGAGCTGGGGCTTCCCCCTCTCCTGGAAGATAGCAGCTGCCCCTTGGCATATGGAGGCTGCATGCTGCACCTTGCAGCCATTCTGTGAAAGTTGGCCACTCATTGTAACATGCTGGACGGTGGCCTTCTGAGAACCTGCTGCTGGCACAGTGCGGTGTAAGTGAGGACAGGCAGGAGTGGGAGTGTTCATGGTGATCAGGTGTGCCTGGCAAGCTGCTGTTCAGCCATTGCTCACATTCCAAATGTTTTTGCACCGAATCCTGCACAGGTCTGGGGAAGCTCTGTCTGTGCACTGTGAGTATTAATAATGCTGGAGGAATAGCGTAGCTGTTCCCTTGAGAGAGAAGGTGAGGGAGAGTGCAGCAGCAGCGGCTGTGAGCTGGCGAGTCCCTTCACCCAGTCCTGTGTCACGGTGCACAGATCGTTGCCCATCAGACCTCAGTTTCCTCATCTGATAAACGGCGATAACATCAATCCGCACTCCCGCTGCTGTTACGAGGGTCAAAACTGGTAGTGGAGGGGAATACTGGGTGAATCCATTGCGTGTGGGAGGAGAAAGGCTTTGCCTTCACCTGCTACTTGAAGGGTTTTTCTGCATGCTTCAGGCAGCACAGCACAGCCATTTCTGCCGGCCTTTACAAAAAGGCATTTTGTTATAATACGGTGTAAATGGCCCCATTTTTTCACTCCAAAAGGTAGCAGCCCCTCTTCTTCCCACGCTGGACCTGACTTCTTCCTGGGCACAGAGCCCGTGGCACCATTGGTGTCTGGTTTATTCCAGGATCCAGGGAGCTGGTTCTGCTGGTTGGACCAAACCTCATGAGCCATCCCTGACCCCAATGAGAGCTCTGATTCTCCCATCTGGGAGCAGAGAGGTCAGACTTCTGTTGCTAGGGGAATCTCATCAGCAGGGAACCTGCAGCAAAGCACTTGTTAGTAAATCTGGGAAGGGCTGGGTACGGAAACATCTGTTCGTGTGTACTGATGGCAGAGCTGTTCCCCGCAGGAGCCTTTTATTTAGGGTAAAATGAACAAAGCCGTTCTGTTCCTCCAACCCGCTCTTGGTACATGTGATCTTCTTTAACCCTTACGTTCATATGATTCTGGGGTTGCTTGAGAAGTGTTATTTAATGAATCATTCATATGATTTGCTCCTCCAGGATTTCTGTTTTGTTTAACGGGCTTTTCTATTAACAGCATAAAATACCGAGGCTGGTTTAGTCAGGGCAAAACCGTTTCCTTTACATATTTTAAATACCTGCTGTTCAGGTTACACAGGCTTCTTGTTTTCTTGTAACAATAAATATCTATTTTGAGTAACTAATGGGGACATTTTAACAGACTCATATGGTAGTATAGCCTAAAATTGTACTTTTAAGTATGTGAAAATGTGTAGCCATTTATATCCCGTGTATACATAAATGAGGTGGCTTCAGAAATGGCAGAATAAATCTAAAGCGTTTATTAACATGTGTCTTTGCACTTGGGTGAAAAATTCGGAAATATGGAGGCTTTTCCTAGACGGTTTGGTGTGGGCCTGACATAACGGGAGGGGTTTGCTGAGAGACGTGAAGGTCGGGTCATCTTGCCCAGTGAGGCCTGGACAGGTGCAAGGCTCAGAAAGTCTTTAGCACTAATCACCGACCAAAATAGCAGTGGCGACGGTGCCCTGGGGCTGGGCGGCCTTCCGTTTTGGGCTCCCGTCCGCTGCAAGGTGAAGTTTCATCTCCCAGGACCAGCCTGACCACATGGCCACCAGGGGACGCAGCTGCTGGCCACATCACCAGGTTTCCAGCCGAGGGACGGTGGCCTTTTGCAAAGGCCGTTCCTGCAGCAGCTGATAAAGTTCCCAGAGAGGAAGCAAATGGACTAACCCCTCCTGACCATCCTCTAAACACATCGGGGAATTTACTTTCCAAGAGTCTGCACCATCTGTCCTGAGTAAGAATCTTTCGGAGGAAGGCAGTGACTTCCAAAATAAACATCTGAGTTCCTGGGGGCTGGGATTTGGGAGCTGACAGTTTTCAGACACCATCTGAAACTTCTTTGCTCAGGTGGGGAAGCTGAGGCTTGTCCTGGGATCCAATAACAGCAAAGTTCAGAGCTCTGTTTCCCCTGAGCAGGAAACAAGGGGCCGCCCCCCTTCGGCAGTACCCACAAAGAATAAAAGCAGATTCTGGCCCAGGAAAGTGTTCCTCATATGCCAGGGGGGCTGGATGAGAAGCTCTGGCTGGTGAGTTGCCGCCTTTTTTCTTGGGTCCTACCCCTCGAGGGGGGCCAGGCAGCAGAAGTGCTGCCCCGCAGCTGCCAGGTGTCTTCGGGCAGTGCCGGTGGAGGAGATGCTCTGCGAGGCAGGAGCCCACCTGGCTCTGCTGAGTCAGCACCGAGACGTTGCTGGGATCAGATGTGGACGGCAAAACTATGGAGCACACTGAAGAACTTGAAGATGACCTTTGTGGCCCATGGCGGAAAAGGACTTCTTGACAAAAATGTCACAGGCACAGCCCTTGAGGCAAAATGATTGAGGAATTTGATGATACACAAATAAGGATTTTTTTATGGGTAAAGTTAAAAGGATGGGAGGAGATATTTATGATGCCAGAAACAGGGATTAATAACAAGAAATTCCTGTAAACCAGCAGGAAAGAGCAATCCCAACAGAAAAATGTGCAGTTTACAGAAGAAAATACCTAGAAGCTAATAAGCATAATAAGCATATGAAGAGATTTAAAGTCATTGGCAATACACATTAAGACAATAATAAGGCATCCCCCTACACCTATGAGTCTGGCAAATCCTGCAAAGCTGGGTGACACCAAGTGCGGGGTGGCGGGGGGTGTGGGGCTGCAGGACCTCGTGTGAGCCGGCAGTGAGAAGGGAGGACAGCCCAGCTGCAGAGCCATGCCACGGTGAGGGGCTGGGTTCTGTCCCCCAAGAATTCATTTGTTGAAGTCCCAACCCATGAGAAAATGAACGTCTGCTTAAACCACCCAGACTGTGGTACTTCGTTAGGGCGTCCTTAACAAGCGAATAAAGCCTATTTACCGAAGTTAAGAGTGCACACCTTGTGAAGTGGAAATTTGACTCCTGATTCTATGTCCTGGGAAAATTCTTACACAGATCCTTAAGGGGACATGTTCATTTAAGACTTACTGGTGTCGGTGGAAAGCAATCTGTGTATCCACCATGGAGCGTCACGATGCAGGCAGATGTACCAGATTTAGATGCAACGTCACATGGATGAATCCAAAACAGAGCTGAGCGAAAAATGACTGTTATATTATAAGAGATATATGCATACAAGATGAGAAAATATTTTCTGAGGATATATGCAAAAAAATACCTGTTAAATACACTTGAATGGCTGCTTACAAGGGACCAGGAACTTGGGAATTAGGTCTAACGATAAGGAATTGTTTTAAAAAGATGGTTGTGGGCCAGGTGCTGTGGCTAATGCCTGTAATCCCAGCACTTTGGGAGGCCAAGGTGGGTGATCACGAGGTCAGGAGTTCAAGACCAGCCTGGTCAAGATTATGAAACCCCGTTTCTACTAAAAATACAAAAATTAGCCAGGTGTGGTGGTGGGCACCTGTATTCCCAGCTACTTGGGAGGCTGAGGCAAGAATTGCTTGAACCCAGCAGGTGGAGGTTGCAGCGAGCCGAGATCGTGCCACTGCACTCCCGCCTGGGCAACATAGTGAGACTTCATCTCAAAAAAAAGGGGGTGTTGCTGAAGTCAGCAGTCAGTTCTGAGAGCTCTGGGAGAATGAGGTGGGCCAGCTTTTCCCTGCGGGATCTTGCTCTGGCTGTGCCCAGCCCTGCGGTTAATATGATGCTGTTGAGAAGGCTGGCCGTTGGGGGCTCTAAAGCCCCATATGCTGCCAGAGTGTTGGAGGCTCCAGGGCTGCAGTAGTGGTGGGGGGAGGGTGCAGGGAAACTGGAGCCTGGGGCTGTATTGGTGATCGAGGGCTCTGGAAGCCATGGGGGGGGCTTGGGTGGGGAAGAGCAGAGAGGAGAGACTCCAGAGGGGAAAGTGGGCAGGGGAGCTGGCTGTGACTCCTCCCCGTATTCCAGCCGTTTCCTGGCCAAGACTTTCCCATATGAGGCACTCAGCTGAAGGGCTGTCACGAGGACAAGGAGCACAGCTGCAGGGGGACAGAGGTGCCCTCAGGGCGATTTCTTCCTCCCACCCCAGAAATAGCCGGTTCTGCCCACAGAGCCCAGAGTGTGAGCCTGGGGAAGTGAAGCCAGAGGCGGGTGGGCGTGGGAGGATCAAGGTGATCAGGACCACCACTGCCCTGGGGGTTACTCCAGGCGCATTTCCTGAGGCCCCAGGGATCAGAGCAAGGGCCAGGGCAAGGAACACAGGGCCAGCCTTAGGATGAACTTTCTCACAGAGCTGGCCAGCAGGGCTGGAGAGGCCATGAGCTCCGCTGCGAGGTGTGCAGGCAGAAATGAGCTGTGTCTGATGGAGCCTCGGAACACACTGTCCCCATCTCGCAGACATCGTCTGGTTCTGAACGCTGGCTCTGGGGGCATTTGCGTATCTTCCGGAGGGCCTCCTGTGGTGTCCACCGCAGGGCGAGTCAGACGCCAGTTGCAGGAAACAGCCTGTGCCAGCTCCCGTTTGAAGAGTAAATATTAGTCTTTTCAAGAGCTGCTTGTTCTCTGTCACTTGACACCGAGGACAATGAGCTGATAAGGGGGGGGGCTTCTTGTTACCCACATCCAGATGGGTCTGTGGGCCCGGGTCACTGCTGCGATGAGGGACCCGTGTCCAGCCAGGCACCCTCGCCTTACTGCTTGGCCAGCCCCTGAGCCCTGCCTCGGGGAGTTCAGACCCTGCTGAGGCCCCAGGCCCCCTGGTTCTCATTGCTGTCCAGCCTGCTTCTGCAGAGGCAGCGGCAGGGGACTGGATGTTTTCACTTGGACTGCAAGGTTTCTGAGCCCCAGCTCTGATGCGTATGGTTTAAAAGCCTCTGATCATCAGGGAGAGGGAGTGACCTGCTTTTGCCCCACCGTCAGCCCCTCCGAGCACCCCAACTGACAGCACCCGTCGCTCTAACCTGCCTGCTTTTTCTGTGACTTTTCTCATTGGTTACCTGTTTCTGCCGTTAGAGAGTCAGTTCCATGCCGGGGCTTTGCCATGTTCCCCACTGTATTTTCAGCGTCTAGAACTGTGCACACAGCAATTACTTGCTGCATGAAAATCACGATGGCAATACTTTGAAAACATTAAACAGGTCTCGTTCTCATTACCTCTCCCCTGAGATTATCCCCCTCTGAAGCCCTCCACCATTATGACCTGGGGAAAGGTGGAGGAGGGGTGTGCCATCTCTGCAAGAGGGAAGTGAGGATGGAAGGGAGGAACCCCCCCACAGCTGGCGAGGGGTGGAGAGAAGGGGAAGAAACTCTGGCGTGTCCTGGTCTCATTACTTAAATCTTGAGGGGACAAATTGAAAGCTGAAGGCCGAAGGTGTGTGTCCCACTCTGTGTTAGGAAGTCAGCCCTCCGAGCAACGTGTGTTCCTTCTAGATGAGATGGTGGAGCTACAGGTTTAATGCCACGTAGATCTGCGTGAACACCGCCAAGCTGCCCTCAGCTCCCAGAGGCCTGGAGGGGACCCAGAAGCTCCTGTGTGCTCCCTGGGGGCACGGGGAAGGTGCAGAGCTGGAGCTGGCGGTCTGCCATGGTGCAGCCGTGGTGGATGGTGAAGTTGAGCCTGCCACAGAGGCCATGGGGAGGGAAGCTCACACCCAAGGCTGGGTGGCGGCACGGCTGAGCCTGGACGGGTCTGAGGGACCAGAGTGAGCCTCCGTGGGGCTAAGTGGCTAGGGTAGACCCTGGGGCCGCACCAGGAGAGCAGCTGTGAGTACCCCAGCCACAGACCTCAGCAGCAGGGCCAGTGAGTGCCACGAAGCCCCGCATGCACACGACCTGTGTGTGGGGCTCCTCTGCTCTGCCCCAGGAGGCCGCCTGTGCTGGGCCCTCTGCCTCATCCTCAGTCGGCTTCCTTCGGCAGGACCTGGCAGCTCTTCGCCTCATCTCTGCCACACAGCTGACCCTTTCTGCTCTGGAGTTCCTCTGCCTGCGTGACGGAATGCCTGCCAAGCCTGGAAGAGGGAGGGGCTGAGGTGGTCAAACCTTGAGCAACAGAGGCTGGAGGCGGTGGCTCCTGCTCTCCTTCTCTGTCCCTCAGGAGGACAGTTTTGGGCATGTTCTGCCAGCCCTGCAGAGGGTCCCAGTGAATTCAGTCCTGTTGCCCCGCAGTGGCCAGTGAAATAACTCCCCTTTTTCGTGAGACAGGGTCTTGGTCTTTCAGCAGACTGGAGTGTGCTGGCATAATCATGGCTCCCTGCAGCCTCCACTTCCTGGGCTCAAGTGCTCCTCTCACTTCAGCCTCCTGAGTGGCGAGGACTACAGGCGTGCACCACCACACCCGGCTAATTTTTAATTTTTTGATTTTTT